ATTTTCTAACTATATACATATAAATATCCAAAAATTGTACAAAATATTTTTATATAATTAATAAAATGAAATTTATTTGTTAATTAATATAAATACAATTAATAAAATGTATTTGGAAAAATGTATTAAAATATATATTAAGTAATATAAAAATAATATAAAGCAAAGTTTGAGTGAAATAAAGAATATATTGATATTATTTAGGTAATCCATGTAATTATTATTCATCTTAAAATGAAAGCATTGAAATGAAAAAAATTGTAGGAATGTATCAACTACTTCTTAGTGATATGATTAACCATAAAATTGTTCATCAAATCTTAATCACTAATATTTTCAAATATATTATTTATTAATAATATTATTTTATGTCTTGTATATTATTTATTGATATTATCATATCATAAATTAAAGAATTTTAAGATTATTGAATTTTATATTTAATTATTAACTTATTAAACTATTTATAGAAATTGATGAATCATTTGATTGAATAGTGAACACGCACTATTTTAATATATTCCTTGAATAATTTTTGATTAATAATCAAAATATTAGTTTGAAAAAAAATGTTGGTTCTGTTGTTAAATTTTTTTATCTTATTTTATTTCTATTGCAAAAACATAATTAAAGTGTATTTTTTTCTTACAAATATTTTTGTTTTTTTCTTGATATAGTCTACTATTCATATTTATTTTTTATAGAACCTTTGATAGTTAATATAGGCAAAGGGCCAAAGAATAATTTCAATGTAAATTAGAAGTATTGTAAACAATGTATTGTAATACTATTATTTAAGTCGTTAGGTAATATAGTTTTAATTGAAACTATATTGACAGAAATATACAATTTAAATTTTTTTAGTTTTTTTTCTTAAGAATTATTTGAAAATTGTATATGAGAAAACTGAATAGTTTCAGGATAAGATATAAAAAAATATACGAGTTATTACTTTACTGGTAATATTTGAAATCTTAGAATCTCCCGATTAAAATTTTTACTGTAAGTGTACTATGTTTGTGTTTTTATTTAAAATATAATTTGATATAATTTATTGTCTTAGTATGTAATATTATAGTTATAGTTTTAGGTAAATATACAAAATTAAAATTAAAATCGTAAAAAAACATAATTAAAATTGCCAAGTATGTTGTAGCTTTAGTCTTGTGTTTATATTAATCATGTAAATTATGATTTAATAAATGATGATAAAATTTTTTTTAAATTTATAATTCTCAAATAATATTGAAGTAAAAATTTTTAAATCAAAAAGAAAGCGCAAAATCAAAGTATTAAAACTAAATATATATTACAAATATTCTTTATTTTTAGCATTACTAATTCATTAATTATTGGAAATCGTTTTTAACCGTAAAATAATTAAGGGGGATTTAATATATATTCTGTACCTTACCTAATCAAAATGTTTTATTTTTAAAAAAAAAAAAAATCGTTCTTACAAACTCGAACTGAACAAATAAAATTAAAATAGTGTATTATAATCAATATAAAATATTACATTTATTAAATAATAAGTCTTAAAGTAAAATATGTGAACTATTGTTACTGATATTTTATAAATACAACAATATCCTACAGTAATGGTTAAGGACTAAGGATAGTTAACATTTATAAAAACTATTTTATAATACAATTGGATTAAAATGTTATATAAATTTATTTCTTGGAATTGACTTTCAAGTTTGAATTTCACAATATAATTAATAAATTATAATACAAATAAAATTCAAATACTAAATTTCAATTGTAATTTAGAATTTTTATAATATTAAATTAAATTTGATAATCACTTTTAAAGTTCTGGTTATGATCTAGACGTTCTTACTAATGACTATTAATCTCTACTCGTATATTTGATTTTTTTATTTACAACAAAACTAATTTATGATGAATTTTTGTAAGTCTAAAAAAAAATGTGTCTACGATGCGCTAAATTTTCATTTATAAATTTATAATTTTTTTATTGTTAGAATTGTAGTTTCATTTTTTAACTAAATGTGATTTATAAATATTTCTACTTCTGATATTTTTTTTGATTTCCTTTTAACGTGTAATAAAAAAAAATATAGTTTTTGGAGATTACACGTTTTCATTTTGCGTTTTTTTATGAAAATGTGGTCTAACAAATATTTTAAAATATATTGAATGTCAAGTTGATTCAAACATGTGTGTAAACAGTTGTTAGGTATAATTTATTAAGCTTTATAATCGTTTAATTTTTCAGATTAGATTTTGGTGTAAAATAAAAATCATTGTTTGTATTATTTTCACCTGTGTTTGTTATCTAATTTGATTTTTTGCAAGTAGTGTAACTATATATACTAACTCTTACATTATCATGTTCAACCAAGCTTTTCAACCTTAACCTATTAAATTAACGCCAAACCTTCGTGGTCACTTTGATAATTAAAATTAACGTTATATTATCTTAAGTGTTTTTTTCATATTTTTATTCTGCTTGGTAGCTGGAATATCGCCAGTGAAACATAATTGAAATAAATACAAATTTTCTTACATATATTATTGTAAATGCACCATTTTCTTATAATTATACGTAATATATTTTGTAACTATCTAGAAAAGCATAGTAAAATATATTCTTATATGAATATTTATATCATATAATAATCTATATATTTATATATAGAATGTGAAACATCAAGGCATTTAGCATAACAAAAAAAAAAAACGCTTTTGCAGCAGCTTTATTTCCAGTTTCACTTTTTTTTTAAATATATTATATTTATTTTATAACTCTTGATTTTTTATTCAACATTTTTTTTTTCAATAATTGTTTTGTAAATTATATCGTTTTTTGAATATTATACGAATAATTTTAATAAAATATTATAAAATAGTTTATAAATATACTGGTATAGTAGTATAAAATAGATATATATTATATTTGTATTGATCAATATCTGATCAATGTTTCCAATTGAATAGAAACCAACTTTAATTGCATATCATATGATTCTGTTATTTATGTAATTTTTCTTTTAATTTAGCCTGGCGCAAGCAATGGTGTATATAACATAATGCTTGAAAAGTATAATTTACACGAATTGAGAATATAAAACGAAGAAATATTCAATGAAGTCGAATTTAATATAATAAATCAATAGAGTCCTTCAGAATTTGAATTAAATTTTTCTCCTTCATTACATATAGTGGCAGTCAACTGTTAAATCTGTTGTATATACAACCGGTTTACGTATACCACTGTTGTTACTTGGGTATAAACAAGTTATGCTATCGGGTTAAGGTCTCTCTAACGTCTTGCAAATATGCACCGTGGAAAAAATATTACCGATATATACATAAGAAATAAGTAATTATTAATTTCTTATGTATGTTGTTATTATTGACTACAGAAAATTCTTGTAGTTATGTATATAAGCAGTACTATTGGTATAGTTCTGAATTAAGAACAAAAAAAAAAAATACTTACCAAAAAATTGTGCGTTATGAGGCAATATAGTGAAAGCCATGTCTATATCACAGCATTTCTAGCACAATATACGTCATATTCATCCTTCCTGTAACGATGGAATTAATTTAATATATAAATGCCACCTGTCGTGCTTATGATATGTATAGTATTATTATATCTATGCAGGAACTATGTAGACGTTTACTATCTTTTATTGTTATTTTAAATCAATTCCATTAAAATATTCTTCGTATGTTATAGTTTTAATTTGCTTATACCTTCGCATAGTGCTAAAAAAAATTATATATTTTTTCTTCAATTACAGTTTACTTTACAGCGTGAACAATTGAAAATTGACTTAAGATAAAAAAATTAAATTATATTAGCTATATTTTTCTTTGTAATTTTTTTTTTTTTATAGAGTTCAAAAATATACTGTATTTATTTTACAGTTAAAGTCAATACACAGATTCGATAAAATGATAGAACAAATTATGTCCGTATAATATTTTTAGTTGAATAATAAGAGTCAAAATTGAACAAATAATCTGGGTATTTTTTCTTATCATTCGTCATTGTATAATGTAGTGATTGTGTAAAGAGTAGTATAATTTATTTTGATGTTGAAATTGACTATGCCATTTATAGTTCATATGTGTAGTTCTTGTATAAACAACAGTTATTATCATAAAGTATTATAAAGGAAAATATATTTACTCTAATGTAATGCGTAACGCGTCTGTTGAGTGTAATAACTGTAATAACTATTTTGATTACTTGTCAGGTTAATATTCCATGTTATTATTTTTCTGCTATGTTAAAAATTACCTTTATTTCGTTACATTTATATTTTTGACTATACGTATAATTATCATTAAGTAACCGTTCTCTCGTTATCGCAAAATCGTGTTATTTGATATTTTACCTATAATCGTCCTATATGACAGCCCTATAGTAATGTTATTTGCAGATCACACTCTAAAATAAAAAAACTTAAAAAAGGTGAAAGTCAGTTTGTCGTTTGGATAATAACCATATTTTGAATTGATGAATTTGATCGTGTGTTACGTGTTCAACGTGTTTGTAGATGTGTCCCGCGGAAGATGCCTACAGTAATAATATGTAACATGATAAGAAATGCACGCATGGCCTGATGATCATCATGAGCCTATATGGATCGAATTTCTTTTTGACGATCACTGTTCGTGATTTAAACCCTGCGTCTACTTGGCTGCTTATATACCAACCGCATTATTCTCATTACATTGTGTTGGGTGCCATCATTTCTTCATTAATCATACACATACATTAAAAAAATACGATACCTATGTACATACATAACTATGTGGAGTGTTTTGTAATTTTCAAATAAAACATGTGTATGCTTGCTGGTGAAACTATGCACGCCTTATATAATCGTCGTTTAATGTAAAAAGGGATTATACTTAATGTTTTTTTTTCTTCAAAAACTAAAACTTTAGTATAATGTTTATAGTTCTGTTTATTACAATTTTGCATTAATTTTTTTTTTTTTTTTTATAAATAGACTTAGTGAGTGTTATTTCGCCAACAAAGGTTCAGCGACTGTTCTATGTTCGCCCAAGTCGCACCACCAACAGCAACTGCAATCCCGACGTAAAAGACACCACCATCATTCGCACCCACATAGACACCAGTCGTTGTCTGCTCCAGCATCCAGTCGGCTGTCCGCAGGCAATGAAGAAATGCAGACGCGTGCGAATAATATACAGGCGCATTTGCAGTCCATGTTCCACATACTTAGGCCTGATGATAGTCTGAATATGGTACGTATATTATAATTGTTTTTAAGTATAATTTATTTTAACATCCGTCGCTCAAAAATACAGCTTATGACACTTATATATTAGTATTGAAAATGTATTCTAAAAATATAAAGTCACTTTATGTATATGTACTTTTTTAAAATCCTTTTACCTCACGTTTTAGAACTCGTGGGTAACCTTCACAAGGTGATGCTCGTGACTCATTTTTGTAAACGTGCACTGTTACAATTTTAAATACATCCAAGGCATATTCTGTAACCATAAAGCTTAGACTATTTTAAAATAATATCATTTGTCTAAAGATAAGTACCCTTTCTATATTGATTGACATATTGTATCATTGGACTTTGTCGATAATAGAATACCGAGTTTTCCAAAATATTTCAGATAATTTAAAGAATAAAATGTATACCTTTTATTCTACATTTGAAAATAATTTGCTGTCAACTTTTTAATAACTAGTATTTTCAAATTGCTATAATAATACTATTTGTCTATTATGGTACTATTATAAATCTATACTATTTATATTTATGCGGATATTATATTATCCTGTCGTCTTAGTACTTCGGTGTACAATTATTAAAAAATAAATAATTGTTCGGTAACCTTGTAAAATTATATTATAGTATATTGATTGATAATTTATTTTAGTTTCAAAAAAATGTAGGCAGGAATTAATATTATCAAAATAAATAGTAATAGTAAATATAAGTAACTCCAGTGACAATGAGGATCACATTTGCTAAAATTATATAAATTACGAGCGATCAATCATAAATGTATTTTTTATTTTTATATTAAACCTTGAATTTTAGTATTTATATTAGTTTGTATCGAGTTTTTATACATTAATCAATGTGCAAATAGACGGTCCTTGCAAAATATCATCGAATCATTTTTAATGTAACTTTTTATAAACTAATTTGCCATCAAAAATTATTTCTTTAGTAATAGCGCTCTTTTATTATTTATCTCTTAACGTACAAAATGAGCAACTAATTGTTATACTCTAATACCAAAAATTACCACTTACTGAAGGCATTCGTGACCATTGGGGTCAAAATCGTTTTTAACATTGTGCTCAAGGCTATTCAACTGACTATATACCATATAGTCTGCTCTGGATAATCGATCGGTTTCTCATTATTTTCACGTTAGTAATCATTTGCGTATTGCGCCCTGTAGGCCAAGGTACTTTTAGTATTTTATGTAAACATTACACCATTATTATAGTTGAAGGTCTATGTTTAAAAATAAAAACTTAACGGTGAAAAGCTGTACATTTTCTATTCAGACTGTATAGTTGTTTAAACATGGAATGCATAAAAAAAAATCGTAAATCGCTGCCTGATTGATTTCCTAAATTCCATAGTGATATTTAGTATACACATAACATTAAATCTTGTACAAAGAAAGCTTAATATCCCAGGTTTAAGATGTTCAATGACTGCATCACGTATTTTTAACGTAACACCCACACATCATATAATATGCATGATGACATAAAGCTCTTTAGTTTGCACTGTTGATTCTTGAACAATGCATGAAGCATTCTAAGGGTGTGCCCACGCGGATTTCTAATAGGGTTCAAGCGATATCTCGCATTTAAACGAATTGACACATTACAATAAACAATCGAATTCACTTTCACGGATGCAAGGCCAAGGTTGTTTTAAAACTAAATTAACACTTTAACGTTGACCCTTAACTTTAATAAGTAGTTTGTATAAATACCTAATTAATATTTGTTTTACATTTTCAAGTTTTTGATATAATGTTGTGTAGTAAAATATCAATTTTTAAGAATATGATTTTTAGACTTATACTACGTATACTATTTGCTATAAATTAAAAAAAAAATTAATAATTTATGTTTATACTATGAAATCAAAATTCCTATTCATTATCTGTAAAATATTATCAATATTTTTATTAATTTTATTTAAATACACAGAATATATCATTTTGTAATTAATACAATTTAATTAATTACATAATAATATGAAATCTTTATTAATTTGATGATTTGATTATTTATAAATTATTTATTTATTTGTTCTAGTATTTAAACTTGAAACTTAATATTTGATACATTAAAGTTAATACTATAATACTTCATATTTATATTTTGAAAACAATTTTTCAAATTTATCAATTTATCATTTTTTCAATCCGACACCTCCAGCACTAAAAATATATGTGTATGAAATACTTAATCTACTATATTTTTAAAATCAAAAACAAAATTTTAATTTATAAAATAAAGTCAAAGAATTTTACTTATTTAAAATTAATCCTCTTATACAAAATGACCCATCAATAATACGAAAACTATTAAATTTAACTTGCAACTTGCATTAAAAACTAACAAATTATATAATATTTTAGAATGTATAAATTAATTTGTTTTTATTCTGAATTAATTTTAACTATTATATTTCATTTTAATTTATAAATAAAAAAGTGCCGTGAGTGCCATATATGATTTATAATTTCTTAGTTATTGATTATGTTAACGAAAGTTATACAATCATGTACCTTAAAAGCAGGGCTTGTAAGTTCATGCCCTAGAAAATGCCTAAATAATCATGCATTTATGCACTTAAAATTGGCAAAATATGCTTTGAAATATGCCTTAAAAAGTTAAAAAATATACATTTATATGCACTAAATATCTATAATCATGCACTTTAAAAATGCTTACTTAAAAAAATCATAAATCATTTTTGAAATAACATGAACTATCCATTCATTTTTTTATAGCTATATTTTATTTTTTTATGTCAATTAAAAAAAAATAGATTTTAAATACTATTTAATACTATTCTTAAGCCTTCATGAACTGCGTATAATGTACGTCTTTGTCAGTAATTCATTTTAAATCTGAAACTTTTGAAACAAATTTATTCATTAAATGTACGAGTATCAAGAAGATAAAAAAAGATAATATAATTTTTGTTTTTATTTTTATATATGTTTTCCATTTAAATTTTTGAAAGATTCTAATAGAATGTTGTATAATACGCCTGATAAAATAGAAATATGCATAAATATGCCAAATATACAAAAACATGCCAAATATGCATAACATATAAAATAAGATTTCACATATATAACCGTGGTACCTTGAAATAGATTTCTATGTCATCTAGCATTAAATACAACTTTGCAAGATTCATATGCAAATGCATGAACTTACGAGTTCTGCTTATGAGCATTAAATATTGGTTTTATAAATTATATTTATAATCATTCTTTGGCGGACTATTTATAAGTGCATTTAATTATATACATTTTTAATTACAAGCTGTTGCGTACATGTACAGATGCAGAAATATAGATTTTATACCTGTCAAAAACTTGATTTTTAACTAATGAAAGTAGATAAAGCATATAGTGTTATATTTATAGCAAGTTATGTTAATAAGAAATTATTCTTGCATTTGCTTTTAACACTTAGTCAATTTTAAAATATCTTGTTAATGGTATTATAATGATATAGTCGTCTGGGTAACGAGTATATGTATGTTGATCTGAAGGGGGAAATTTAAGTCATAATATTGCGACCGATTTCGTTCGGTTGATAATAGTGTTTTCACCTCTTAACACCAATAGCCTTAAGGGATCTAGTGAGGCTATGTTATTTTTTTGTTTGTGACTTTGCATCCTGTATATTTAATCATATTATGTACTCTATTAAGAATTAATACACTTATGATATTAGTTGTATCTCAAAAGTGTTTTAGAATAAATCATTTGTCAGTACAAATTTTCGTTCAAAATTCATAATATTATATTTATAAATACTTATCAATCATCATTTTAAAATAAAATCATTGATTTATTTTAGAATATATATGTAATACGTATAGTTATAATATTAAAACGAAATAATAATCCTATTTTAATATTAAATTAATTTTTTTATAGGCAGTAAAGTTGGAAAGTGTACATTCCGGCCGTACCAGATATTTAGTTGTAGTATCGTGTATAAATGGAAATAGTCAAGAAGAATCCTGTCTTTTGGGTCTAGATTGTAACCAAAGAACTACTATAGGATTGGTGCTTAGACTTCTTGCAGATACCACAATTACACTGGACGGAGATGGGTAAATAAGTGATTCACAATAAAACCATAATTCTTAAGATATTATGTAACATTACTTAGTATACCTGGATTTAGTAAAAACTTAATAGTGTTAACCTATTAAAACTTATTACTTATACTATTTAACGAAAAGAGGAAAAGCTGAGAAACCTAACCGTAATTAATAGGTAATGCATTGTTATTGGTGATAGATTGAGTTTTATATAATGAACAAATCGATATATTTTATTTTACATTCTGAACGGAGTGATGGAATCTATTGGTTTTACAATGATGTTTTTTTTTTTTTTGTGTGTGTCATCACGTTTTAGGGCAGTAAAAATTCTTCGATTTTCTTAAACAGCAACTTTTCTGAAAGGAAAGTGTATGTAGATGGTACTTTGGCAAGTCAAAAATCAAACTTTTTCAATACTTTTTAAAAACATAAAAAAAAACCACAAAAAAAATTACGTAAAAACAGGAAATTTTACGCAAAACCACGTTTTGGCAAATACATTTTTTTTTTTTTTTTAAATGCTTTAACTCGAAAACGAAAAACCACATACACTTGAAATTTTCACCAAATATTTAAATTAGCGTTTTCTATACATAGTAAAGTTTTCGAAGTATTTTGAAATTTTTTGACTTATTTATAGACAATTTAAATTTTAAATTTTTCTAAGTTTTTTTTTTTTTTTTTTCGAAATACCGATAAAAAAATTTGGCTGTAAGAAAACTCTTAAAAACTTAATACAAGATTTAAATTATACTTATCAAAACTAAAAAAAATTGGAAATCGTTTCACACAAATTTTTTTTATAAGCCCATAAAGTCCAAATTTATATGAAATAAGTCAAAGTAGTGATAATTTGCATGTTATTTTGTAGTTAAAAATTCATAAAATTTTTTCTATTTATCCTTAAAGTGTAAAATTTTAACACAAGATTATCCATAAGTTATTCTTCATATAACTTTAAAAAAAATTTCTACCGGACTAAAAGAAAAAAATTTTATAACCGTTTGAAATTTAAATTTTTACGAAATTGCATAAAATAACGATTTATCCTTAAACGATTTTAAATATTTGTTATTATTCAAAAAGTGAAGGTTGCGGAAACTCGAAACTTTTACTAGTTATTACGTTTGGTAATTTTTTCAAGCGTATTTTTTTCAAAATATTATATTGGTTTTTAAGCAACTTTGCAACATTTGAAATACTCGATTTATCCTAATAGAAATAATGATACCTATCATTGCGTTCAAATTTAACAAATACATTGTAATGACCTATCCTATAAACGAGGTGCACTCCACCCCCTACTGTACAGCAGAGCGAGGCCCATCCGGTTCTTTTTTAATTTTAGTTTACGATTGTTAAGAAGAAATGCAAATATTTTTTACAAAGTGTGGTGGTGAAATCTTAAATTAATTTTTACCCCGTTGAATACAAAACATCAAAATGTTAACATCGTCCCAATATAAAATAATAAATGATAATAAAAATATTCTTATTACTTCCAAATTGAAAGCTTATCTTATAAATAATATATAATAATGTATTATTCTTAAGCAGGTTTGTCTCTCATCAATTCAATAATTGTCTTATTTTTCAGTGGATTTAGTGTTAGTGTATGCAGCCGACAACATATTTTTAAACCCGTCTCGGTGCAAGCTATGTGGTAAGTAAAAATTGAATTATTGATTTAATATTATTATCCTATAATGTATAACTTGTGATGGAAAAAAAAATGTATTATAAAATTATATTTCCCGTCCGATAGTATTAAAGCATATGCAATTTGTTTATATTTTTCTATACATTTTTTTTAAATTCTTAATAATTAGAAATGAATAATGAAGTATAAAATAACTCTAAAAAAATAATCTATTTCGGATCATGATCAAAGTGTTTCAATTTATTAAAATTAGTTTTAAATAAATATCTATGTGCTTGTTTGATTTGATTATTAGTGTAACCTTGTGGTCAATTGTTTCACAAGTAACGCAGTAGACCGATAATAGTATGTTATATATACAGTATAATATATACATTATGTTATAACTACGTTTTCTCTGCTGTATGTACGTACATACATGTAATTTTTTATATATTTTACGAAATGCAAATCCACTGAGCCGTATGCTTAAAACTCTGAATTTCAAATTATTTATGTCAGTTGGATTCTAAGACGTTTCGCTCTGTGTACTGCCGTCGTCATGGAGTTCATGGGTAGCTTCATAGCTCGTAGGTAGTGACTCAGCGTGACATGGTTCCCAAATGGAATAGTTATGTAACTTAGCCGTGAGACCACTTTTAGATTATTTTGCAATTACTATTTTGATAACAAAACGAAAAATTACATTGGCTTATATATTTTAAGTAGCAGACAAAATGAAAAAACTGTCAAACAAAACTGTATATGTTTGAGAAACACGCATGGGTTTACATCGAACAATTAGTTTATTGAAATAATACTATAGGAAAGTTAGTCATTTTAATGAATTGAGTATATTTATAAATCACATGAAAATCTTTTGAAAATGCTAATTATTCGACAAAATTACATCAAATTAAAATAAATTATAAAATCCACATGTATCTGACTTGTTCACATTTATTATAATAATACTGTTACACTCTGTTTTGATCAATTTCGTCATAACAATAAGTATTATAGGTGTTTAACACATTTTATTTTGCTTAATTATATTTGTAATAACATCATTAGGTAATAATATTATTTATTATTTAACACATTATGTCAAACGAAAAATAATTTTCTCACCTATTTTTCAATTTCTTTACTTTCGACATGTGCAATTATTCAAACACAACCAACACTAAATGGCCATTTTTTCTCTCAAGCAATTAGAAATATATTATTACACTAACATGAAAATTAAATAAAAACAAATAATGAGGACTATATTGCAACATGGTATGCTTAAAAAATTAATGATAGCTATAATTTTGGTTTATCAGTAAACAAGTAAGTAGATTAACTACACGTAAATAATATAGTTTATTACAATAATCATAATTCTGTAGAATTTCATTGATATGTATTGTATTTTATAAAAAAACGTAATACATCTTACAAATTTTGTGCATGTATAATTTAAATAATATACTTTCATATTTATATTTTTACTGCCATACAAAATAAATAAAATATAAGAGAAAAAATATCAACTATTAAATCATATCATGACATTTTTAAAATTTTTAGGCGAATAATTATGGATTAATCTTTAATTTTTTTTTTTTTTTTGCAAACTGCAAGTTAGTCGTTTAATTTTATTTTCGGGATCGCCTAGAATTTAAAATGTTTCATTTATGTTTACAAACAAAATAATTTGTTTCCTTTACATTTCATCCGAAACGCCAATAAATGTTTAACATTCCAAGTAAATTACAAATAGCAAAATATTTTATATAAATAATAACTTGCATTGTATCGTGATTTCAAAATTTGGTTTATGTAATATTGTAGAACAGTATTCTGTGATTTCGTAAATAATTTATTGATCTAGTTCGTATAAAAAAGGTGTCATGTCATTGTCCTTATTGAATGATATACGTAAAAATGTATTTCCGACCATTGTATTTAAACCACGCTATATTATGTGTTTTATTAATTATAAATTCATAGACGTTTACAATGTTTAAAATGTTTCTAAATTGTCAACTATATTATATGTAGCTTTACCATGCATTTCAAGTTGTAAAAAGTTAAACGGCATTAAGATTATTATGCTTAAATTATTAATGTTTTATATGCTAAATATCCGTAGTTCTCAAATTAGTAATGCTTGAAAAGTATATATATTACTAATGTATTATATATTACATGTTCATCTAACGACCTTATTTTATGTATTTATTTCTCTTTGATCGGTTAATTATTTATTACTTATAAATTTTTTTTCATATTATGATCATGATCTTAAATAAATTAGTTTCTGGCCCTATTCGTTTTTAATTTTAAGTAAATGACTTCGTTGATAAATAATTCATTATATTTTATTTTAAATTGAAAATATTAAAACTATTATAATATATAAAATTAATTTGTACTCTTTGATGTAGAATTTTTTATTCAAGTTTAACCAACGCTTTTCGACAATTAGTTTTAAATAAATCATAAACTTCATCTATTTGAATATTTGTGTTGAATAAATAATTTAAGCTACGCAGAACTGACAATACATTCGTTATACCTTATATGGTATGTAACATGCGTGATTCCACTTCTTCAATAATAATAATAATAATAATAATATTACTGACGTTATTATAGTAATAATGAAGAGAAGTGTTATCTCGACAGTATACAGTATATACAATATACTGGTTCGGGATACCTGAATTTAATCCATTTATGGACGTCAGACATTGACGGTGTGGAATATCACAGGCACGTCTTTCGACTGATTCTCTTGATTGACAAGTGTTGATTATATTTTTTTAGATTACTCGTCGGAAATTTTATTAGATTTATATCTCATATATTTATACTTATTTTATCATTTCTAATAATGATCTATAGTAGCATCAATATTTAAATAATAATTAAAAAAAAAAAAAAATGCAATAGATCGTGACAGATATATGTAGTTAAAACGAAAGTATTATAGAAGTTATATTTTGGATTTCTCCAGTATCCATAATTCGTTTATAATCAAATCAACTGGTAGTGTCATAAGTTTCATGGAATTTTCTACTGTATTATATTGACGCGTAGTAAAAGTCATCCATAATAGTATCAATGCTAACACAATAGACGACGTGACGCGTGAAAACAGTACATAATTTTTTTGTGTATCATTTAATAAAGCTTCGAAGTTTTCATAACGTTATGCAATTACAATAGCAAACTTATAAACGTGTATATTCAAATTAACAATTTATATTTAAACTTGTTAGATTTTGTAAATTTTGATGAACAAAAATTTGTTATGTACATAGTAGGTACTGTTACATAGTTTCAGTAGTTTTGTTTGTACTTTATGTAACAATTAATCTGAAGTTAAACATTAATAATTTTACCAACATCATATCACAACTCAATATGCTGTGTAATAAAATATCATCGTGTCAAATTTGTTCATGTTTATTTTCCTGTCGGCAAATAGAAGTTGTAAATTGTATGTCGCATGGAACATTTAAAAATAAAAAAAAAAGGTTCACGAGCAGAATCGTTTATTGTTATTAGTTATAGCCCTAGAATAATTCTCCATGGGCGGCCGTAAACAGTTTTCCGAACTAAGAACAATATTATTAGAGCAGTATTTCAGTTTTCCCGCGCCCGATCTTCCATCATTATATTCTATATTACGCCGTCCGTCTCCGTGGAGGATTGCGATACTTCGATCCAGTCGGGGATATCGTGGCAACCGTCATCATGGTGATCGTATGCGTGATTTGATGCGCACAATCGTGACCGGACGCGTCCCCCGTGTATATATGTACGCACGTATACCTGTGTAACACACAACTAGCACTCGTTCGCGTTATTATTATTATTCGAAAGAATTATAGATATGTATTGTAAACGTTACAAAATGTGTTCAGTATTCTGCCGTGCCGTGGCGATGATGTTCACCCTTGATCATTTTTGTGCTAGTGAATCTTCGCACACTCGACCTACTAGCACGTCGGTACAGGTTGATCTCGTGCACTACACGTTATTCGTTAATCGTGCCCCGGTCGTACATTCCGTCGTCATCGTTGTCATTTATCGGTTTCACCGCGTTTCCGATCGCGATATATATCCATATCGATAAACGGTGATCTATCGACGACTATTTCATTAATTCGGAACGTTTGGACTTCTAAGCGATTTTCATCGGAGTTCTTGGAGACGATGTAGCACACCGCGCCGCGCGAACCAGTTACGCCGCCATCGAGTCGTGTCCAAGTCGACGCCGATGCACGCGGCGAATGTCCCGTTAACCGGTTTGGTGCCACCGCGCGTGCGCGCGCGTATCGTCGTCGACGTGTTATTGCTGTTTTCGTTAAGGTCGCGACCGTCGTCGTTTTGCCTCTAGATGTACGGATTGCTAAACATAACACTGCACCACCGGGTACGCGTGTACTCGCGCGAGCTCACCGTTTTTCCAAACGTGAAATCCAGCAAATTGTCACTAATTTGGCCCTGACCTTTGCTGCCCCCGCCGCCACCACGTCTCTCGGATGTGTTGATAAACGAGAATCGCGCGCATTATCTGAGCTGTTTCCAATATGGCATCGAGCGTCGTCGGCGGTGCCTCCTCGTCTTCATGTTTTTCGCACGTAACATTTAACGCATTGACGATTGTTCCCGAAACGGCCGGCTGCCAAATGCTGAATCGGAAAGTTCGTCAAACCCTCGTGACATATTTTATAGCCTATGTGATCTCTATAACTCCCTACTCTCCTTCTGCCCTCTCGTCACTATCATGCCCAATGAATTGCGTATATCTATTTCTACTAAATTAAGAACGCGTTAAAATTAGCCCAGAAGGACGGACGAATAAAAATAAGAACAGGTATCCCGCCCGCGCCCCGTATGTACTTAAATGGGCCTTTGGCACTGGTTATGTATCCTGAAAAGGTCAATCGCCGTTTGTTCCAACGATTTCGGTAATCCGACCGTACCTCCGCTACATACCTATTTTATCTGACTAATCGCCTTTATTATATTCTATTGACATATTGTACTCGTATAGTCGTCTGAAATAGCTCGTCAACAAAAATATTGAGGTCGCCGTCTTGAAATCAAATAATATTTTAAAAAATTATTCTAGTTTCGAATTGAACAGTTGTTTTCATAATGCTTATGATCATAATTTCGTGCAAATCATTTTAATTTTACGATTCTAGTAATTCGTGTATACTAAAGCAAACACAAAATTGCGAATGGTACCTCAAATGGACCTATGTAATCTTACAGTTATTTTCCTTTTTTTTTTTTATATTATTATTCGTTCTTATACAACTATTTTACTTTTTTGAATATTACATCGTATATTTTTAAACTCAGTAAATTCATAATATATACATACGTACCTATATATATAAATTTTTAAGTTCAAAATATCATCTATTTCACTCAGATAAGAAATGCGTGTTTATTAGCTTAACTAGATTCATCTAATAATACTTACAAATACTATTTATTTTCTGGGTGAAACCTGCCTTTCCTTTTTATGTTTTTAATATTCTAATTTACTTCTTTAGACTCGCTTATGTCACTGAATCCTTCTTTCACTGTTATATGTTCTTTAGGTACAGTTTTTATACAGATGAATTTCTTAGTTTTTTGCTATACAAAATACTCTCAACCCTAGATAATTTATAAATCTTAACAAGTACACAAAAAGTTGAATCATTTGATTATTTAAATTAGCTTTACGGGATTTTAAAAAAAAAAAATTGACGAAATTATTTGAAAAATCGTTAATTTTTCTTTCCAGTAAAGTAATAGTAAAGGAACATATTTGTATAAACAAAAATATTTGCTAACCCAATCGTAGTTCTTGTTTGTATCGTGTCTTATCTGAAAAATACCGTTTTCATCGAAACCTCGTATTAAAATGCTATTATAGTGGCGCCTGTTTTGCGGGGTGTCTATAATTCTCTGCAAATTCACCCTACCATAAATTTCACCCTTCTTCGTGTAATAACTGCAGTGTTCGGTTTTTACGAGCCCATTGGCTTTTTCTTTGACCAACTTCTTCGTCATATAGAATATTACTAGATTTTAACGTTATTTTTCATTGTTCATTTTTCATTTTTCATTGTTCTTTACATTCTACACAAGTTAAGTCAATAACAAACAACAATTGTTTGTCACAAAAATAATTATTTCTTAACGTTATATATTTCTTATGTAAGTATTTATAATTTCCCAGTCGCGACACAATGAGTAGAATACACGTCAGTTTTCTCTTCCTTTTCGATTACGGGATTCGATTTTAGTTCCCATTGTTGGTGATTCACGTCGAACGGCCGACCGTGAACGCAAAAACTTTCAGATACCTAACAAATCAGATATGTATACGCTTTGAAAACTCAAGTAATATCATAATATTATATTGATCATTGATTGAACTACATGTAATTCGTCACGCACTTCCCATAGGAATTTCGTTTTGAATATTTGTCGGATGTATTACTTATGTTGGTCATTTTAATTATTACGTGATAGATAATATATAATAGTCGTCAAATCACATTTGTTTAGCTATTTCTTTGAATACCAAATAAATTAGACATACTATTCAAAACTATTGTTTCCCGTTTGAACTTGAATATTATATTTGTGCAGTTAAACTTCGGTTTTTTTTTTTAACATTAATGTTTATTTTTAGTACCTTATTAGATCGAACGACTTAATACCAATTAACCGACAAAAAGTAATTTTACATTTGGACAGATATGTATATTTCTACCGGTATTATATTAATAATTGTAGTATATATATAACATTATTACATCGTAACAGTTTTTTATTCTATCTAAAAATATAAGTATACGTATGATTATGGTAACAATAATTGTATTTCAAATCCTCATTCATCATTATTTTTTTACGTAGACACTTAAAATGATTGAATACTTTGTATAGTTCGTATAAAATAAAAGAAAGTTGTCATGATCGAAACATTTAAATCCCGTAAATCATTTAACGGTATCATGGCAAAATCATACAACCAGAACGAATACTTCAGTAGGTGTGAACAAACCGTTGCATTTTTTCCGGAACCGATAGTTTTTTTTATTTTCGTAATCTGTGTCAAAACATTCCGATGCTGTTTTGGTGTATAACTAGATCCTTAGTTAAATCTTCAATATCAATATATTATTCTACAAACGCCAAACGATCGTTGAAAAAAATAAAATAAAATAAACGTTTTACATGTAAAATGTATTATTATTATTTTCCTATTATTAAACCATATGGTACGCAATAAACCGCCAATTTGCCTTCTATTCAGCCGTCTTAAGTAATACGTTTATCCGTCCGAACCTGTTCAAATCTAAATTAAATACGCCATAATGCACGTGCATCGCATGTATTAATCATTTTACGTTGGTATAACACGCTGGTCGTTGTTCATGCAGTTCCCGAGACGTCTGCCAACAATTCTTGGAATAAAATCGCATATTGTATAAGTCCATTGGTTGTGCACACTCCGTCTTATCTTTTCTTAACGATCGTTGGAAAATGACAGACGTGCGCAAACAATCATAATAATATACGCGTGCGCTTATGGCCACAAGCCAATTCCAAAAGATACGTCATACCGGCTTTCTCTGCGACCCGTGCAAGTCGGTTCTTATTTTTTTAGCCTTACACGCTTGTACATGAAAATAAAACAAGTGTCTAGTCTTCCTATAGGTATACGAGAAAGAAAGCTGTTTCATTTAAATGTAATGGTGATAAATTATTATGTTGCCTTTTATTCGTCTCCGATGATTTATGATATTTTGACGATTCTGTTGTTATTCAAACTGGTACCACACAGAGTACTTATGTGACGTTTTTTTATTCTTCAATCATCACCGAAAACAATAGCAAATATAATGGTGGGCATGCCAAACACTTTCATATATACTCTCCGATTGTATACCGTTTGAGCGTATAATAAAAGAAAGCATTTTCCATAAGACTTAAAAAAAATCCTTGCATATGTATGAATGTTGTGCGTTACACAATACACGACGGTGTTTTAAATATTTAAATTAATTATTACTTTTTTTTTCTTTTTTGACTGTATTAGCCTTAAATACAAACTATTAAAAAATTCTCATCGAACCTTGAGAACCGGCCAAACATTAAAATTTATTTATTTTGCACTTAGTGGTCATTTGAAACTGTCAAAACACGCTGTTGATTTATAATATTCCATAGATAGTACAAACATTTATTGTTATAACTGCGCAAAAACTTAAAAGACATTTTTTATAATATAATTAAATTATAAACTCAATTGTCTTACCAATTGAAATAAAATATTTTAATTTATTCATCATTATTACCAACATGTGTTAATATTTAAAATTTAAAAAAGATAATCGTGAGTTAAGTGGTTCTTGTTAAAAATAAAAAAATAAAAGTATTCACAAAATTGTTTTCCTAATATTTTTTTCATTTATTTTAATAATATTTCTACTATAGTATTATTTTATCTTATTTATGCTTCAAATATTTAAACTATTATTTTACAACCTTATTTATTTTTAACTTCTTTCCAGTAATAAGAATTATCACATTACCATAAATTCATGTTTTTACTTTATGTCAATCTTAGTAAAAGTTGCTACTACACGTATAGAAATTTGTATTAATTGACATGATTATTTTTCAGGTCAGCCCTCCAATCCTTACATAGAGTCAGTGCTCAAGCTCGTGAACACAATTTTTTTGAAGGAGGCCTAACTCACGATTGGATAACGCATTATGAAAAACAAATTTCTTCTGACCAATCATGTCTTAATGAATGGAATGCAATGGATTCAATAGAGTCACGTCGTCCTCCTTCACCTGATTCGCTGAGAACGAAGTAAGTCATAATAACTAATGAGATTATTAATGCAAACATTATTTTAAAATGTATTTGTAATTAGATATAGAAAAATATTTTCTACTATTGTTTGTTCGAGTACTAATTAGTAATAAATTATTACCAATAACTATAAATTACACTCGTGTTTTCTATGGCTCATTAATTTTAGACCCAGTGAACGTGAAGAAACAGAACGTGTAATACGAAGTGCTCTAAAAGAAGTCATGATGAGCGTAGATCTAGACGAAGTGACTTCGAAATTTATTAGGGGTCGATTGGAGGAAACACTAGATATGGATCTAGGTGAATATAAACCATTCATTGATCAAGAAATGCTTACCGTGTTAGGTCAAATGGATGCTGCCACGCAAATATTCCCACACGTTTATTTAGGTTCTGAATGGAATGCGTCGAACCTTGACGAACTCAATCGAAACGGGTATGTTATCATTAGTAAATTCGAATAATTATGTGTATAATTAATGAGGAAAAGTTACATGTATTTTTATTCACATAATATTTATTATGTATACAACGTAGTTTTGTAAATATCTTATTTGTATGACGTATATTTAACATTTAGGATTCTTTTTCAGTGTACGACATATACTAAATGTAACTAGGGAAATTGACAATTTCTTTCCCGGATCATTCAAATATCTGAATGTTAGAGTATATGACGATGAAAAAACAGACCTTTTGAAACATTGGGATAATACGTTCAAATATATAAAAAACGCCGAGTATGGTTTTTACACTTGCTGAATATTTATAATATCATGCTCATCATCGTGTAAATATTTTTTTAATTTCAGGCAAGAAGGCTCTAAAGTTTTAGTTCATTGTAAAATGGGTGTCAGTCGGTCTGCAAGTGTTGTTATAGCATATGCTATGAAAGCATACAACTGGTCATTTAAAAAAGCATTCGATCACGTTCGATCAAAACGAACCTGTATTAAACCCAATAAACATTTTATCCTACAATTAGAGACTTATCAAGGGATTTTAGCTGCAATGAAAAATCGCGAAAAACTACAGCGCTCCAAATCTGAAACTAATTTGGTGGCTACATCGGGTCTTATCACTCCGCCAAATTCACCTAAAAAGCCTTTGGACACACCGAGATCTCAAAGCGAAGGTGATAAAGATGCTACACCGCCGGATCGGTTAGACAAAGAAGATGGTCCTGTTGTCCCTAGTCCACCTACACATCTGATGCCACCAAAGTTAGATGTTAGCGGATACGACCTAATGAAATGTGGTGGAAGACCTAAGTCGTGGTCTCCGGAAAATAATTTTGCCACCGATATTTTATCCAACTCTAGTGAGTTAATAAGCCAATCTAGTTAATATTTAGTGAGATCACGGTTTCAGATAACATAAAATATTCCGGTTGAATGACCATATATTGATATAAGCTTTACGGGGAAGGGAGCTAATAACTTGAAACGGTGATCATTCCATATTTAAGACTCAATGAATCTATTAAAATAAAAATTAATTCTTTCATTTGCATCGTTATGGCGTTTTTTTATTATAAAATTATTAATAATTATTTTAATTAAACGATAGTTTACTGTATAATTAACATCAAGTTCATTACTTATAACTATTCATCTACTTAAAAATAAATAAATATTATTTATTTACAATTATTTGTTGCAAAAAATTGATTTTTATCAACATTTAGTTTTAATTGGAAAAAAATTAAATTATTTAAAATCTACAAGTTCTCATATTTATGTAATAACACTACTGATATAAATCTAAAAATCAAAACAAGTATTATTTAAAATTATTAATTATGTCTATTAAAACAAAAACTAAAAATATTTTCCTAGAGAAAGTAATTTGTATAATAGCAAATATTTACAAAAATCAAGAAAAGTAAAATACTTTTAATTAAAATTAAAAACGATTGCTCCTAATACAAATATATAATCAATATTTTTTTTATTCTCAAAATTAGAACTTCTATTAAGAATTGCTTAAAATCTTATTTCATACTAATTATATTGATATTTTTAGCATTACTGTCCCAATCATTGGAGAAAATTAATGTGGATAAAGTTGCTATTGAAGTAGAAGTTGAAGTTCCAAATATTCCACCGGCCCCTCCATTGCCTCCTTTTGAAGCTCATAAGTACAACGTTAGTGTATTTATGCCGTGCGGTAATGGACTGAGATCTTATAGTGTATCACAAAATAAAATCGTTCAGTTACAACCTACTCCACCTCCTCCGAGGTAAACTATTTGGTCTATATAAACCGACGAATCGATGCACATTGCACCAATGACAATAATTATTTTTGTGTTGATAATACCATATTAATTTAAATATTATTCTCAATCAATATTACAGACCGTCATCAGTTAAACTTCGGGTCAACGAATTGGAATCGAGCAGCAGCAACAGCAGCGGTAGCAGTAGCATCGGAGTAGGTAACGGTTGCACTTCTAGTCCGGATCGTAAGTCAACAATGGATCCAAGCCGAAATCTAGTACTAAATCTCACCACCCAGTTTGAAGGCGTGGTGGCCTCGTCGAGCGCCGCCAACTCTCCTTCCGACGATATTCTAGTCAAACCCCTGCCAGCGGAGTCACCGAAATTCAACCGTATCGCTGTCAACCGACCTGTCGCTGCGGTCAACGTTTACCAAAGTAAACGCGATACCGTTGGTGGCTGCGGTGACCTGTTCTCGTCCCGCCTGGATCGAGTGTTCGAGCGCGAAGAGCGCAAACAGTGCCGCGAGCCCGACCCAGTGGTGATGAGCAGTGGCGGGGCCGATGTTTCTAGGCAAAACTCGTGGGGCTCGTATGACAGTGCTGTCGTGTTGCGAGACGTCATATCCAGACACAGCTCGTGGGGCTCTTGCGACACCCGTACTCTGCCGTCGAGGAACAGTTCGTGGGGCTCGTACGACATTCGACCGACTATGCAGTACGTGAGTGAACGAGGCGAGAGGCCGACGATCGTGGAGTCGTTGTCGTCGTCGTCATCGTCGTCGTCTGCACCGACGAAAATAGCCACGGAAGACGTGATGAGTTACCATCCGACGAAAAGATCAAAGCAAAAGGACCAACAGAAACTGCTGTTGCCAAACTGTTACTCGAGCTCGCCGACGTTGGGTCAAGGCGTTTCGCCCAAGTTGGCCAATCGGGCGACAGCATCTCAGCCCAACATATCCGGTCTGGGCAACGGCAGTTGCAGTAGCAGCAAACACAGTAGTCTGGTGAAAAGTCTGAAAGAAGAGTTCGAGGCCAAGGCCAGTGATACTGTGGAGAAACCTCCGCGGAAAAACAGCAGCGGAGGTAGTGCCACGGAAGACGATGGCAACGAACACGTCAAAAGCCTACCCACGTCGCCCGTCAGCGAACATCCTAAAGTAACGCAGCGACCTAGTCCAGCAGCGTCCATGGAAGACATATCGGTCAGGAAACTTGTCGGAAAATACGAGAACGGCAGGGCTCGGTCTAAAACGTTTGTCCAGGACAGCGGATGCCCACGCATACCTCATCAACAACCTCCCGTGCCCCCTAGAGTGTCCAGTTTAGACGCGACCGTTATCGGACCCCGAAAGTTCACCAAGGCAGAATGCAATCCCGTTGTTAAAACTGTCGTGTTGCCCATACAGCAAAGTGACATCCGCGCATCTATCAACCGTGCAGCTAACAATAAATTGCAACAGGGCAAATCGCATCCGTTAACTAAGTTATCATTTAAACAGCTTAAGGTCAACAGTACCGTTTATAACAGTATGTAAAACAATTTTACCGTAAAAAAATAAAAGCAAAAAAATGTCGACTTATAATTTTTTATTTTACTTTGTTTTTAAACTGTTTTATTGTGACAATTCATCTGTAATGTTTTTGTTTCGAAATTTTTATTATTTTACTTTTGGCTGTTAACAGTAAATTTCTTCAGTAACCTATTTCCTCAAACCTTGTTTTCTAGTCTAAAGCGCAAAATTATCTTATCAATCGTGTAAATATACAATAATAGCATTACCATTATTTACAGGTATATCCATTGCTTTCATCTAAGCTTTACTATTTAAAAATAATGAAAAATTATACATTTTACATATAATTTTATCACAAAAATTAATTTTTAAAAAAAGAATCATGTATACATTTTTTTTAGGCACTTGTGCATTCTTTCATTTAAAATATGCAATTTGCGCATATTAAATTTTTAATTCTTTTCATAAAAAACATATTACAAATTTGTTTTACAAAGTTGTAGATCTCATTTTTTTTTTTTTTATCGCTAACACAGGCGGAAACATTATTCACTTCCTCGTGTGTTCCAGCAATCATAATAATTAATTACAATATTAATGATTGATCGATCCATTGCTAACACCACTTTCCTCCTATATTTAATTAATATTTTGTAAATAATTTTGTAAGCTTAATATATTGTGTGTTAAATAAACAATTTTAAAGTGTGTACATTTTAAAGTAAACTGTTATTATTTTCCTCAAAAACTGCTCTTACTATGGTGTCATACTTAATAAACTGGACACTTAAAAAGTAATAACTAATATCTAACTATAAAAAATAATTAAATAATTGTAGTTACAATCTTAATTTTGCCAACATAATTAAGCACTGTTAAAAAATAAGAACAAATTATTTTAAATTGACCATGTTATGTTATTAAATATTAATATAACCTTATGTTTTATAATTACAAATAATTATTTAAATTTTAAAATATTTTTTAAAAAATATATAAACATCATAGAAAATGCAATGAATAACAAGAGAAATCTTTTGTCTAAATTCTATATAAATACTAAATATATTTTGTGTCAAAATGTTTAATGCTCGTTCTGATCATTGGTTAAAATGATTGTTTTTAAATAAATTAAAATGGCAATATATTTTAAAAAATTAATGAAAAAAAAATCAAATTAATAACTTAGTTGTAGTCTGATAAGATTAATAATAAATTAAGAGTCTATGATAATATTAATATTATATTCAAACATAATGTACTATTGCTGATACTAGATGGCATTCAATTTTCAAAGATAACTGCAGAATCTAATTTACAGTATTATATTCAATATTTCCACTGAGAGTATTTATCAATATTATAAACGCCAACTGAAATTTGAATTTGAAAGTCGTTTATTAAATTGATACCGTAACTAAAAAAAGAAATAATTACGAAGCGATTAAATTAATTAAAGGGATAGGGATCATTAAAGACCGATTACTGGTTACGTGAATAAGTATAAACTGGTGGGGGAGCGATAGAGTGCAACTTCCCCTTCTAAAAATTTAACAGGACAATTCCCCCTTGGTATTTTGTAAATTAATTTGAAAAATATTATAAAAAAAGTATTTTAGATTTATAAGAATTATTTTATCACGAAATGTATACATTTTTTAACTAAAAAAAAAAAAAATCAATGTATTCATCAAAATGTATTTGTTTATTGACATTTTCCATCACAATATATCACGATTATGAGCGCTTAGAGAGGGGGGCAATACAGGGCATTTAACCCCCCCTCTGGAATTAAAATATAATGTTGAAAATTTTAACCGTTACTTTGATTTAAATAAATATTTGAATGATATTTTGGCAATACAAAAATGATTGGAAAAGGCGAAAAGATAAAATTAATTAATTAAACGGAATTGTATGTAATGCAGTCATGTCCTTTAAAGATGTGAGAAGAATTCCTCGGCTTGATACCATTAGATCAGTTAGCTGCAAAATCAGTTGCTGCTAAAATGCTATCATTAATGGAAGACAGTGGTCTTAATTTAACTAAACTTTTTGGATAATATTATGGTGGCTGTGCTATAATGTCTGGCAAAGTAAGTGGCGTTACTAAATTAATTCATGACCGATATATTAAAGCTTTGTATTTCCATTGTGCTATTCACCGATTAAATTTAGTAATTAATGATTTAAACAAAATCATCGTTATTCTGTTAACTGAAAGTGAAATTTGGTATAGTTTATGGCAAAAAAAAGACTGCCAAAGTATGGACATAATACCTAGACTTAATAGAACATAGCAAAATATTTTTCCCTAGCATCACAATTGCATTAGAAATTTTTCTATCCTTACCACCTACAAGTTGTACAGCCCAAAGGTTATTTAGTACTTTACGAAGGGTTAAAACTTGGTGAAGACCGATTAAATGGTCTATGTATGTTCAGTGTTCATCGTGAAACAGTCAATAGAAGAAAAGAAAAATTCATTGAACAGTTAATAGCAAGGTTTGCAATTGAACAACCACGAAGCCAGTTTTATTTAATAACGACTAAAATGTATATAATTCTGACATATTTTATTGTTTGCTAAGAATACAATTTTTAATATACTTTTTGGTGTTTGATTTAATTATGTTCCCTCTTAATAAATTTCCTGTGGGCACCCATGATCATGATGCAGTTTAAGTGTATCCATGGCATTAAGTGGAAAGATACGAGGGAATTCAGTCCTACCTCTCACAGTGCTTATAAAGTGTCCTTTTTAACATTTCTTTGAATAGTTTACTGAAACACTCAACTATTTATTAAAAATAATCATTCACAACAAAACAATTTTGGCTTTGCAATTTAGTTGATACCACTACGTATTAAATAGTGTTCTACAAACAAAACTAAATTATATAAAATATAAATTATAAATTATATACCTAGTAATAAAAAATTATACACCATTATTACATAGATACCATATATACGAGTACTATCTTTTATTTTATTAAAAGATAATAATTATAAGATAATATATTATTAAAAAATATAAGTAAATAATTTACAAGCTTATATGTTACATTTTAAAGCACATGAAAAGTTTGTGGAGGAAATTTTTCACTAACAACATCTCAGAATATATATATATATACCTATTTATAATTAATTATTTAATAATATATATAATAAATAAATTGTTATATAATATATAACAATATAATAAAATCGCAGCTAATAATATAAATACTATAGAATACCTTAAATTCTAATATCCGAATTATGAGATAGATTATAGATGACTATGTATTACCGCTTGCAAAAAACAGATCAGCAAAGAGCCGAGTGCAGAGGCAGAACCTATCCTATCCTCACAAAAAAAAAAAAAAGAAAAAAATCGCTTAGGTGATCTATTCCAAAATGTTTTCGGATAGTCACCCATACAAGACATTTTGGCTGAATAATTTACTGTAAATAAACAATGAACATACATTCATTACCTATTATAGATGTCTATATTATTCTAAATACAATAGTCATAATACAAATTAGATTAAGTTATATTTTAATAAATACAAAATTTCAAAGTTTAAAAAAAAGTAAGATTTGGTTTTAACGGATGGCATAGTATCTTTACACAGTAATAATATTAATACAAAACCGGGTAAGTACCCGGTCAGTGGGACACACAAGATTTTTTTTCCGGGGGAGGGGGGCCTACAACTCCTTAACCCCCCCTGCGTGCGCCACTATACTCGGTTATGTATTAATTATCAGTATCAGGCCCAATAGGGTTACTCTCGAGTAAAAAATTAAAAAGCTCCCAATGATCCAGTGGCGTAACTGGGGGGGGGGGGGGGAAAATGCCCCCAGAAATTTTTTTGGGGGAAAAGGGTAAAACTTTCCCCCCCCCCCCCAGATAATCCAACAGTACAAACAGCACCTTTTATTAAAGAACTCTTATGGGTATTATTTAACAATATTGGTGCCTAATACCTGCTACTTACAATTTATGTTAATCTAAACCACAAAATGAGTTAAAAGACCTATGTAAAATCAAACAATTAGAAATACTGTATAAAATACAAACAATAAAAATATGTTTTAAATGGTGAGAGGGATAGGCGTCAGTGTTTTGATAATAATAAATATATTATATTGCCCCCCCTAGATTTTTTCCCAGTCACGCCACTGCAATGATCAATAAGTAACACACTTTTTCTAATCATCTAAGGGAAAAAAAACAATAGTGTACATTCGTACCTTTAATATAATATACATGTACTACAATAAAATATTGATTAAGAAAACAGTGTTTTATTTTACAACAAAGTCGATAGTGTTAAAAAGGCATCATTTTTATTCGACAACGTTTCATTACGTCATATCATCATCTCATCTGATTTAACAACGTATAAAACAAATTAAAAAAGTTTACATCAATTCTTACCTAATAACTATTGACCAGACTAGAGATTTATAATTATAAATAATTTTATTGACTTTGTGACTGATGATGAATTTTTAATCCGAAACTGGTCGTACATTACACTTATAATTATACTCCAGGCTGCATATTCGTTTATTTATTTATTTCTATATATGAACTATTTATTTATATACTCATTTACAAGTATTAACCATTTAAGTACTATTTAATGTTTATTTTAATAGATATATATATTAATTTGGCTAATTCGGAAACTTTTACAATGTTATCATTTTTCTACACAATGTCGTGTGGTGACATTTAGCCACTACCCAATCGAACATCGGCTGTGATAAGAACGTCGCTACTTGCATGTTTTGATACTCTCCGGCTGATAAATAACTAAAACAACAATTCAAAAATGTGCGTGAAATTTGAATTGGTTTTTACCGACCAATGACGAATCAACGGTTGAAATTATTGAAGTAAGTGTTTAGCTGAACCAAAAATGAGATTCTTTATTGACGAGCTGGAAATACTGTTTCCGTACGAGTACATTTATCCCGAACAGTATGCGTACATGGTGGAGCTGAAAAAAGCAATTGACGCCAAAGGACATTGCCTGCTGGAAATGCCTTCGGGTACCGGTAAGACAATCACTATACTGTCGCTGATCATAGCGTACATGATCAAGTATCCGGCAAAACTCTCCAAACTGTTGTATAGCACCCGCACGCTGTCCGAGATCGAGAAGGCCGCCGAAGAGTTGCGTGTGCTCTGCGATTATTATAAGACAAACAAATACGATGTCAGCATTCTCGGTGTAGTCCTGTCGGCTCGTAAAAATCTGTGTATTAATCCAACAATTTCTGGTGAACACAACGGGCGCATTGTTGATGCACGATGTCATGCAATGACAGCACCATTTGTGCGCGCTCGCCATGCCGAAGGAGAAACTGCTAATGTTTGTAGTTTTTACGAAAAACTTGACTCTCTTGGGAGAGACACGATTCTACCTGCAAATATTTACAACATTGAAGATTTAAAAGACTTGGGTATAAAACAGGGGATATGCCCTTATTTTGTAGCTAGACAAACACTTATTCACGCCAATGTTGTCATATATAGCTATCATTATCTTTTGGATCCAAAGATCGCCGGTATAGTTTCTAAAGACTTCAACAAGAATACTATAGTTGTGTTTGATGAAGCTCATAACATTGATAATGTATGTATAGACTCATTAAGTTCTCATATCACGAGCAATAATCTTGATAAAGCAATGGAAGGACTTAGCAAACTAGATACTGAAATCACAGCCATGAAAGAGAGAGACTCTCAAAGATTAAAGGAAGAATATAGAAAAATGGTAGATGGTTTGAGAGAAATATACAGAAATCGTGAGGCCAACGCTGCATTAGCTAACCCGATTGTACCTGACCAGGTACTTAAAATTACTGAACTTCCAGGAAGCATCAGGAGTGCTGAACATTATATTGGTTTTATGAAAAGATTCATCATGTACTTAAAACTTAGAATGACATCTACAACTGTTGTGCAAGAAACACCCATAATGTTCATTAAGGATGTGTTTCAAAAAGTATGCATAAATAGGAAACCATTAAGATTTTGTACTGAACGATTATCATCGTTACTAAGAACATTAGAAATTTCTGAAATTATAGATTTCTCTTCACTTATTACTGTTGCTCAATTTGCCACCCTTGTGTCTACTTATATGAAAGGATTTATGATAATTATAGAACCATTTGATGAAAGATCCTCGTCAGACAGCTGTGTTATGCATTTCAGTTGTTTAGATGCCTCAATTGCCATTAAACCAATTTTAGATTATTTTAATACAGTTCTTATTACATCAGGAACATTGTCACCATTAGATATGTACCCAAAAATTTTAAATATTAGTCCTGTAATAATGACATCACTAACCATGACATTATCAAGACAATGTTTTTTGCCAATGGTAGTTGGTCGAGGTAATGATCAAGTAGCATTGACTTCCAAGTGGGAGTCAAGAGAAGACTCTTCTGTTGCACGCAACTATGGGCATTTATTGTTGGAAATGGTAAAAGTGGTGCCTGATGGTGTTGTGTGTTTCTTTCCATCATATCTGTATATGAAATCTGTCGTGGCTGCTTGGTATGATCAAGGAATAATTGAAAAAATTTTAGATTACAAATTGATATTTATTGAAACCCAAAATATTGTTGTCACAAATCATGCAATAAAATGCTATGCAGAAGCCATCGAACGAGGGAAAGGAGCATTATTATTGTCTGTTGCTAGAGGTTTGTGTCACTTAATAATATAAGCATGTTACACCTTTATTTTATATAATTTTAAAAAAATATATCTAAAACTTAAGTTCATTTAATTAAAAATATGATTTATTCAATAATATATTTGAATTAAGGCTATAGTTGAATAGGTTTATAATTTATTTTATAAAAATGTCGGTAAAATTCTTTGACTTTATTTTTCATCCAGAAAAAATTGTATTATACATTTTATTAAATTTATTCCAATTAACATTTCAATACTGATTTTTATTAACTGTGTGTTTATAAAATCATTGTTATTAAAATTTTTATTTATAATTTATTTTTAAACATGCTTGTTCACAGGTAAAGTATCTGAGGGTATGGATTTTGATCATCATTATGGCCGAGCAGTAATTGTTCTAGGTATGCCTTATGTTTATACACAATGTCGTATTCTAAAGGCTCGTATGGAATATCTATGCAGTCAATACCAAATATCAGAAGGAGATTTCTTAACATTTGATGCAATGAGACATACTGCCCAATGTGTTGGCCGAGCTATCCGTGGTAAAATGGATTACGGTATTATGGTTTTTGCAGACAAAAGATTTGCTAGGAATGATAAAAGAAGTAAACTACCCAAGTGGATACAAGCATATCTAACTGACAATGTTTGCAATCTAACAGTGGATGAAGCAGCCCAAATGTCTAAAAGATGGTTAAGGTATATTGCTCAACCTGATCCATTAGAAAATCAAATGGGAATTTCTTTGTTGGATGCAAAAGCACTCAATAACACTGATTTCTTATCTAAAGTTATTCAAAAATGTTAACTATAATTTACATGTTAAAATTTATACTAATTTAATTTCTATCTTTTGTAATTGTCTATAAACTTATTTAAGTTTACTCTATTATTTACATTATATTTTTTTAAATATTTACATTTGTAACCAATTTGTATTAAATGTATAGTTTATTGAAAGATTTTCTATAAGTACCGGTAGTTATTTTTTTTATTTCGTTAAATTTATTGTGAAAGAACTACACTTAAGTATGTTAAGTTTCTTCTTGTGATGATCTAATGAAAAATTAATTAATTGGCATATCACATTATATATCTTACCAATTCCTTGGAAGATTTTAGAAATATATATTCCTTGACTAAAAATTTGGAATTTTAAGCTATGCATTTACTAAACTAATGTATTGAGTATAGGGTTGCATAAATTTACAAAGTGAAACCGGGACAAAATAAACACAATATTAAGTAATATACTTTTTATATAATTTTTAATATATCGAGTGGGCGTATACAATGGGTGGGGAAGGTCAGATTTTCAGAGATTCAAGCCTTTTTTTAAATGTTATACAATAATATTCTTAGTGTAAGGGCGTTAGAGACATAAAAAAAAATAATGATTTGTTTGCAAATTATCCCCCCCCCGCATACAAAAGTTATGTACATGCTACTGAAGAGGACAATTAATGACCTGCAATATAATATTTAAAAATATTTTTGTAAAATAAAATATATTGTATGTATATTATATATTATTAATCGATTACGATTAAAAATGTACTCGAGATAAAATGGTGGAAATTAAAAATTAAACAATAGGTACTACATTTCCTCTAAACATCTAAGCCGGGACATATGGACGTCTCAAAAACATTTTTCGGGACACCGGGACGCGAAGTCCAAAACCGGTGACAATCCCGATTTTCCGGCACGTATGGCAATCCTAATTGAATATGTAGACTCAAACTTTAAAATTGATAAAACCTTCATAGACTTGTGCTAGTTTTTCAATTTGAATGTACAAGTAAAGTCCTAGACACATTGATAACCTATGTATAATGCTTATCTATATTTATTCTTCATTACATCAATTCTGATTTAGTTGATATTTCCTAATTTTATACAATATAATTTATACTTAAAGGTTTTGCTAATATCACAATAGGCAGATAATTAGTTATAATTTAATGTATTTTATTTATTTAATCTACAATAGTTTTTTTTTTTTTTTATCAAAGGGAATGATTGAATGAACACAGGTTTTAAGAATTTTCAAAAACTAAAGAAGTACTGAAGAAGGCATAGGCTATATTGCATTTCTTTATTTATAAATCATATATATTATAAGATAACCACGTTTTGAAAAAAATTATATTGGATTTAAATTCAATATTTAGAAATTGGAATCTAGATGACAGTCATTATTTACTTAAATATATCAAAATAATTGAATAAAGTTAATTAAACTAGATTTCGAAATTGTAAGGAAGTGATCGGAGAGTAATTTCAATTTAAAATTTTAATACCAAACCCAAAAGAAGCAATAAATATGCTTTAATAATTAAATGAATTTACCCCAAAAATGAAATCATTCAAACCATTCAACAAAAACTATCACACTCAAAAAAAAAATTTGAATTTCTATGGGTCCCCTGGCACACTGGCATAATTGGCAATGAACTTGCCGATATAGCAGCCAATGAAGCCTGACTCGATAGGAATAAACAAAATAACATCTCAAAGACGCACTCGTAAAAATCAATATTTTAACTAAAAGTCACTGGTAAGACACCAAATACAAACAAACTCAAAGAAATTAAACCATCAATAAACCCATGGAAATCACGCAATTCCAGGCACGAAGAAATATTTGTTACGAGGACACAGATTGGACACTCCCGTTTAACACACTTGCAACTCTTTACGAAAGAAGAGGCCCCAATCTGCGAACTCTGTGAAAAAGAACTGACTATATCACCCTAGAATGCCCGAAGTTCAACAGTTCCAGACAAATTCTCGGAAATCCATCAACAATGCAACAAGATTTTCAGCTATTTTATACATGTATTATGTTATATTGATACAACAGCTATTTGAGGAATAGCGATTAGATTTCATTGTAGTAACTCGAAATAATTAATCAATCAAAATAAAATATTTCAATATTTTCTATTAGCTACACTTTTAGATCCTAGATCCAGTAGCTTGTCAAAAATCAATTTTAGATTTAAAAAAACTAGTAACAACTTCCATAAAAAAATTAATTTCATCTGACTACTGTCGATGAAAAAACATCTAGACGATTATGACTTATGGGAATAACACAAATATATAATGCAAAAAATTTTTTAAAAAAAGTAAGATTAAATAGGATTGAAGCCAATATCGTAAGTTCCTACTTAACCAATATTACATTAGTTAACCATTGGCTACGTCTGTTCTATCAGAAAGAATGTTTTCAAACGCAAGTATCAGTATAAAACAAGAAATAGACTAATGTATTTAAATATAAATATATACTATTTATAATATAAATAATTATAATTATATTATATATTATAATTAATTACAATTATACAAACATTTTAATGTCCATGTGCACCGAACACGCTCATCTATCCCTTTCTATATTCCATTCTCTACTACAAACTACTAACTACCTTAACTCTCCAATCCGTCTGATGCGCATCGCCAATACCAACCCTTCTTTTACCCTTTAATATAAGCCATATTTCCATGAACTTTTTTTTTTTTTATATTATACTTCACCGTCTAGCATCTTGTATTGTATAACTAATTTTATCTACCTACTTACTACAACTTATTCTGCAAGTATCAAATGTTACTATCATTTATAGGCTGATTGGCCTATATTGTATTATCTTCTTCTTCGGCGAAAATACTCTTCAAGAGTTTTGGCCACCGCCACTATTTCACACCATCTGTCCCTCTGTCCATGTGTTATCTCCCTCCAGTTTTTAATACCCATCCTTAACAGATCTTCTACTCAATATAAATGTTTTATTACTCATTCTACTTATTGAATTATAAATACCTAATTAAAAAAAATAATTAATAATTGTATATAAATAATGTTTGAATTCCAAAGTTTAGTTCTGATTTGGCATTATTGAAGTAACAATATCCAATTATTTTCGTTGAGTATTTAGTTTTGGTACATTTTTTGTTTGATACATCGTTATTTGATCTAATTTATATCGTGATATCAATGTATCACTAGTGGCCGATACTTTACCATCTCTAATACTTATAGCCATAGAACAGAGGTGGCGAACCTGTCAGGCGTGCCAGAAATAGCACGTTGGTCAAATTTCAATGGCATGCCAAGTATTAAAATTTAAGAAAATGTTTGTCTTGAAAAAAAAATTATTTTATTTGAAAACTTTAATACGAGACATTTGAAGAATCAATTTAAAAGTTTGTAATAATAATAAAAAGTTACAGTTAGTTATACTCTATATATCATATAATCAGTGGCGCATTTAAGGGGGGTGAAAGGGGAAAATGCCCCTAGCGGCAAATTTTTATGAGCGGCAAAATATTCTAACTTTTGTTATTAATATGTGTTCATGATTTTTTTTAATTTTCACAAATTTTTTGTTTTTGTTAAATATTTTAAAAAAATATTGTTGAGCATCTAATAAGAAATTTAAAAAATTATACTATACCTAGTTAATTTTATAAAATATTGATTGTTAATAGTTAATAATTTATATTATCTTATATAAACAGTGCTTGATTCAAAACACTCACAAGACTTTAGTGAATTTAAATCTGAATTAGAGGTTTCTAGTTCTTGCTCAAATGTTCCTATAGGTAAATCAAGTATAAAATATAATAGTATAATATTATATTCCTCACTTAATTTGACGCATTACAATATTTGTAGATAACTGTGATCAGCAATCGACTTATTTAAATCATGATACACTTAATTCATTGTCATCAAAGAAAACAATCATATGATAGGTGTTAACTTTACCATCAATACCAGTTTTTGATTTCCTTAACCACTATAACCAAATTAAAATTAAACAAATAGGTAGGTACCGACCTATTTAATTATTATTAAATATGTTTGGTAACATAATTTTTATATTATCGTTTTTTAAACTATAATAAATACATTTTTAACACATTTTTATTGTGCATTTTTATAATTTTTAAAGCATTTTTTAATTTTCTGCTATTTTTTTAGAGCATTAAATTCCCAGCCCTACATACGAGTATAAGTAATATTTATTTTAGAATATACTATAATATTTGTTACTTATTAATAATAAGTTATTATATTGTTCATAGACACAACTAGGGTATAAAATCTGGAGGGAATACAGCCCTCCTACCAAAACTTAAAATAACCTGTAGATTACCCATACTCTTATATACCATGTTAATATATTATAGATTCTGAGCCAAGCTGGATTTAGTGCAATGCGTCTTTTTTTTTTATGTGACACTATTGTGAGTTAAGTATGCTGTATGCGGTATGTCATGTATAACAAAGAATATTTATGAGGGGGCTAAATCTTGGATAAGGGCTAAGCCCCCTCTAATTGCGCATATGTACTACTCGTATACGGAGATCGGGGGCTTAGCTCACTCTCCCAAATAAATAATTTGAAGTTAAAACACCCCTAAGAATATTAAACAAACAATATCGTACTTTTGAACAGGTTGCAGAATTTTTATCATTATTGTATGTTCTTATTTTCACAATTATATAAGTGTACCTAGTTTGTTTAAGAAAGAGGCGATATTGAAGATATAAAAAAAAATATTTAACCTCAAGTATTTCTTAATTTTTATAAAATGATACAACTTGCTTAAACACTACCTATTAGTTCTGCGAAAGAAGTTTTTTCTGCTATGAGGAAAATAAAAATATAGCTAAGAACATCTATATATCAAAAAAAAATTTAATGAACTTTAAATACTTTAAGATAAGACTAAATATTTAAGTAATGAAGCTATTTTAAATACTTTTAACAAACAATTTAATAGAATAATAGAGTTAAGTTAAAAATGGTAATTGTATTTTATTAATAATTCTTTTTTTATGTTTTATGTATTTAAGTTATTATGATAATGAGAAAAAATGTTATGAGTGATTTAATGTAAAAATTAGTTTGTTGGGGGTGTAGGGGCAACGTTCCAACGGGTCTGTTTGGCATCAAATATTTGAACCCCCCTTAATATTTCACAGAATCTCGGCCCATGGTACTAATGTTCTGTACTAAAATAAACGATAGGTAATATTTATAATAGTATTTACATAAATATATTTCTGTGTAGCTATCATAGTTGATGATATAAATTGATAACAATGATAACGTTATATTAAAAAAACGTTATCCGACAAAAGAGTTATTTCGTAAAAATTATTTATACATTCGATCACGCAAATATTCAACTATGAATGTCGAAAAATAAATAGTGTCATCAATCAAGCGTTGAAGGACAACTGGGTCATATTCAACTGACCATGAGTGAGTATAGATTATATTTATTTTATAACTCTTAATGTTTTTGATAATACTGTTTTTCTCAATTGATATACTCAATGAAATAGTAATTTAATACGCTTTTTCTAAAATCACGATTTAACACAGGTTTATACTACAGGTTTATCAGCCTCTCGATGTGTGCTTCAAACAATATTGTTATCTGGAAAACCTGTGTACTCAGCATCCATGAATGCTATTACTTTTATGACACTTCAGTGCCATAAAGTTCAGTTGAAATGTTCATCAACAAATTTTACTATTGTGTCAAGAAAAATACCAATAGTTTTTAATGTTAAACGTCATGTGAATGTTACATCTGTATTGAAAATGTCCAAAAATTATTATGACATTTTGGGTGTTTCAAGGAATGCCAGTCAAAAACAAATTAAAGATGCCTATTTTAAATTAGCAATGAAATACCATCCAGATAAAAATCAAGGAGTCCTTACACAGAAATTTAGGGATATCAAGGAAGCATATGATGTATTAAGCAATGATTCTAATCGAATGAAATACAATAGTATGTTTCCATTCAAATATTTTTTTCTATAATTTCAATTTTTAATATTATATTTCTTAAGAGTAAAATGTATTTAATCTTGTTTGTTTGAAATTTGTAGTTTTTATTTACATTTCAACATATATGTTTTTTATAACTATTAAAGAGAAGATAACTCTGTCAATTCTTATATTTTCATTTAGTTAATTCTAATATCTCATATTCTTTGGACATTTTTCTTTCGTTTTTAGAAATACTAAATAATTGAACAATTTATATCCTTTGCCATTACTAAAATCTACATTTGATAATAATTATTTAAAATTAATTATTAATTATTATCTTTTACAGATTCATCTAATAATTATACTAATACAAAGAATACATCTCAAAATTGGTCAACAAATTCTTCCAATGATCACTTTAAGTCTTACGAGGAGTATAAATGGACCAATAGCAGAACTGAATATCAACGTGCACAAAGAAATCATGCTTATGATTATAGTTACCTTAGACCATTTAATGTGTTTATAAATGTCATAAAAGTGCCCAAAAATGTCGTGAAAACACAAATTGATATTATATTATTGACTTTTATTAAAAATCATACATTAAAAATGATTTTGTATCAACTATTTCAAATTATTTGGAATCAAATATTAAAAAGTATTAACTTTAATGTATTGATATCATCAACATCACCAAACAGTTCTGTTGATGAATTTGTTAGAAGTGTTCTTGGAAACAAGACAATTAGAATTGAATTAACAGAAATGGATGCAATAAAAGGAAAATCGGTTAGAGTACATGTAAATGAAAACGAAAAAGTGTTGATAGTTAATATACCTAGAGGAGTTAAAAAAAATCAATCATTTTATTTATTTTACCTTATTGATGACAATGATGATAGACACAGTAATACATTTAAATAAGAAATGTTTGTTTTTGTTTCCTATTTTATTAATTTTGCAAAATATATATATTTTTATTTTTACGGAGAAAATGTCTTGATCAATATTTTTCAGTGTTTAAAAATCATAGCATCTTCATTACTTCAATAAAAATAGGGTTACATTTAATATCATGTAATTGAGTGTTTTTAAAAATAAAAATATATTAAGTAATATCTATAGCTAATATAGTTCATATTTAAAAATAATTTTATCAGCCATGTAACATTTTACAAAAATTTATATTTTTCTCAAAATGATTCTTAAACAAATTCCATAAAAAAAAAAAAATTACTGAGTATATATATATATCAATTTTCTGTATGTCTAAAAAAATCATGTTTAATAAGGATATTTTTAAGACTATTATTACAATTATATATTATGTCGCAATATAAAAAGCAACAGTTTCTCAATTATCATATTTATTCTTTATAGTATATATTATATTATATTATATTATTTTATGTAGAAAATGAAAATAAATTTTTAGTAATATATATATATATACTGATTTATTTAAAATTTAAAATTCCCTTGTTTTGTTTGAAACTATCATAACAACTTTACAATATGTATAAAAAAAGTTTGTTTCAAGTTCTTATAATTAAAATTATATTCTCATTTTTTTCTAGTATAGTCAGAAAGAAGAAGTATTAGTCATTATATTTATTTCTTTAATCTAACCATACAAATATTAAAAAATATTAATAATTTGAAACCTAAGCATTTAATTTTAAACTATTATTATATTTATCAATAGCAATTGAAGGGTCCAATGTAACAACCAGTTATCTCGATTTCCTCAAAATTCAGGTTTTTACATTTTCTGATTATCATACAGTTGAAGATGCCTGGTAATAGTGTTTGGTGCATTAACAAGATATTTCTAGAGATACCCGGTTACTGCAATGAGTTAAGTGCAATAGTTTTGAAGTTGCACTATTTTGTTTTATTGGTGATTAAATTTTTACCATAAATGATTATTAAGTCAACGTATGGAAAAAAAAATTTAATTTTGGTGCAATAACTAGGTATCTCCATGTTTTCTTATTTGTACTTATAAAATAATGTATTTAAGATAATCTAAAATGTAAATATATATACATGTACAGTTAATCTTTAATTGAAGAATTCAAATATATTTTTACAATATGTTAACCTCCATCAGAAATTAAATTATTTGGTTATTTGTTTCTCCTGAACAATTTCAAAAAATGGAAATACCTGATTCTTGCACCAGACCCTTCAATTGTCAGACAACATTTACAGAAAATGTAAAGTGAAATCAATATGAATTTTTGGAATACTTTTTCCAGTTGAATCTTAAATTACTACATTTTTACACCAAACCATATTTCAATGTCTATTGAATTTTACCAAAAACTACAAAACCACATAGTTTAAAATTATAAAAACATAAATAATAAAAATAACCGACTGAATAAGAAAAATGCTAAAAACTCATGACCCATTACTAATATCTTAAGTTTTTATTTGTAGATTTTACATAAGGGAAAAAAAAATTAATATTTTAACAACTATTAATTTATTTATAGTAAATTATAGATGTTTCTTGCTAGCTTGAAATAACATAAAAGTTTTAAATTCACTCACAAAAATTGATTAAGACTGTAAATATTTCAACAATATCTAAACTTCATTTAATGAAAAATATTATACAGAGTTATTCAAATTATTTCTCAATACAGAATTAGCATAATTCAAAATTATGTAAAATGTTAGAATATATATATATATATATATTAAAAAATAATCTTTTTTTAAACACTGGATAGTTTGTACTTCACTAAAATATCAGGTTCTATTTCAACAGGATTTTTTGAAGTGTCTACATAATGAAGAATTAAAGAATCACCATTAAATAATAGTCCATCAGTTACCATACGACCAATTACACGATCCATTTGATTTGATAAGTGTTCACCATCTTCTAATTTGAATAAACGTAATTTAGGTGTATTACTTTTATCATTTCGATTTTCTATTTTCAAACGAACAGCAAATAAATCTATAGTTCGACCAACTGTCCATGTTTTACTAGTAAATAAAGGTACAACTGAAATAGCATTGTTGTCTTTCATTGGTGAGTGAATGGTAAAATAAACCCTATCATTGATTGGTATTTTATTATCACCCAGAGCTTTTCCTTTAAGTTTCATTAGACGGATTTGTTGAGCCATACGTCTTTTTTCCGGTTGCAACTCTGCTTGTCTTAAACTAGCTTCGATTTAGAAGTAAAATTGAATTACAAATATGTTAAATCAAACCATTAATTTACTAACTTTTTTATCAGCTTCTTCCTTAACAATTGCAAATTGTTCTTTAGACTTTTTAGCTGCTTCTCTCAAAACTTTTCTAACCTCTTTTCCAGGAAGTTCATCAAGACACCCATGATGTCTATGAGCCAGACAGTAATGTTTACTACATTTTGGACACAACATTTCACATGGATTTCTTGTGATACAATTCTCAAGTGTACATTTAAACCAAACGGTTTCCTTAAATTATGAATAAATAATTTTAAATATCAATAAATCTTACACACAAACAATATTATTCAATATTAACTATTGCAAATGGTATGGGATGATATACAGTCTTAAGATATTATGATAACAAAAATAGTTTATAATATAGATATTATAATAATAGATAAAATTGAAAAAAATAAAGATCAAATAATTAGGTCAGAGTTTCCCAACCAGGGTGCTGCAGCACCTTAAGATACCGCGAGATTAAATTTAAGATGCCGCAAAAATATTTGAAATATATATTTATTTTTAAATGCCTTCATGAAAAATATAGCACTGTGAGTAATAAAACAGACTATACTCTATGTCTATAGTATAAAACCTATTGTGTATAATTAATTAGGTATACACAATATAATTTAATGAATTAATCATTAACACATAAAATTTTTATGTTCAATTTATTTTAATTTTCATACTGGTTCGATTGCTATCAATTTGATGTAAATAGTTAAAGTTATTTACAGTGAAATACTTGTGACTTTATCTTATCTTTATTGTTTATTAATGCTAAATAAAACCGAAGTTACAAAATATAAATTTAAATATACGATATATTAGTATTGGGTATTCAGTATAAACTATAGAGTATAGGGCATAGACTATAGGGTTCCTCCAAATTTTTAGAAAATAATAAAGAGTGCTGTAAGTCAAAAAAGGTTGGAAACCTCTGAATTAGGTATTTTTAATATGAGAAATAGAATCTATTTCTAGGAATATATTTTTCTTAAAATACGTTTCAAAGTAAAAAAATTATTGTTGATAAGAAATTTAAACAGCATATGTAAATAACATGTTTGCTGATGATAAAATTTTGGTAGGAAAAAATCTGGAAGAAGTTAATGATAGGTTGGGATGAGTGAAGGTTAGCACTTGAAGGAAAGGGATTGAGAATTAGTAGAAATAAAACAGAGTATATAGAATATGACTTTGGAGAAAGATATCAAAAAGTTAAGGATATGAGGCGACCAATGACAATAAATGGTGATGTGATAGATGAAGTCGAGAACTTTAAATATTCAGTATCATTTGTACAAAAGGACAAAGGTTTTAGCATGTATGTAAAACAGGATTAAGTGCGGTTAGATGAAATGGTTGTTAACCCTTGTTAAACGTTGAGTTTTTTATGAGATAAGAGAATTTCAATGAGGTTGAAAGGTAAATTTTACAGGAGTGTAGTGACATCAATTATGCTATATTGTCAGACAAGGCCGGATTAAGTACCTATTGGGCCCCGGGGCTAAAATTTTATATGGGCCCTTTTGACAAAACATGCTTTACAAAGCTGCTCGCTACGCTCGAAGAGTGATACATATTTTATAACTATTTTACAAATTGTCAATTGTATTGTAAAATTATAAAATGAATTGGTATATACAATTTATGTCTATAAAACTATTAATTTTAGTATGATAAAAAATGTATCGGCTTAAAATTGTTTGGACCCCTTTCACTTGGGTACTCGAGAGGTCCCCAATTAGCTCCCTCTTAATTCGGCCTTTGGTTCAGAGTGTTGGACGATTGACAGGAGAATAGAACAGAGTATAAATGTTGCAGTAATGAGAAATTTTATGTGGATGAGTGGAGTGACAAGAAAAGATAGAAAAAAGAACAAATATGTGAGAAGTAGTATTATTGTAGTATCTATAGTGGACAAGATGAGAGAAAATAGTCTGGAATGGTTTGGGCAAGTGATGAGATGAGAAGAAGCAAATGCAGTAAGAATTGTTATTAAAATAAACGTCGAAGGGAAAAGAGGAAGACCAAGACCAAAAAGAGATGATTAGATACGATTAAGAGAGCCGTTGGTGTGTAGAAGTAGGGGATGTAGAAAATAGAGATGAATGGAGGTTGAGGACATTGGTGGCCAACTCCAAATATTTAGGAGAAAAGCAAAGGAGAAGAAAAGAAGAATGTTATAAAAATATTTATCATGAGATTTATTACCTAGAAAGTAGTGAATTTTTGTATAAGTTATAATGTTCAAATATTTTAATGTGATTTTATTTTAAATTTATAGTAGAGCACTACATTTCTTACCAGTTTTTTTCCAGAATTATCAACATTTTCAACTGGAACACATTGATGACTGTCAACTCTTGAATGGTCTTTACAAAACAGAGCTCGACAATGATCGCATTCAACGGGTAAAAAATCTAATTGTTTGCAATCTTTATGGGTGCATTGTTTACCGAAATTTGGAAATTCCATTTTAAAATTTATAAATTTTGTGGTGGTGGTGGTAATGGATTATCACTTAGTATATTTGAAAGAGCTAAATCAGTCCACTTCGTATCTTGCTGAGTTAGAGTCAAGTGAGCATCAGTAGCATCTGCTTCAGGATCAGGTAGTTCTTTAATCGGAACAACTATTTCATCAAATGATATAATTTCTTGACGCCAAGAATCATCAATCAGAGTTTGCAAACGAGCATTGACTGATGGATTACTATCCATAACATTTAAAATATACCTGCCACGCAATTAAAAAATCATAATATCTGAATGCACACAGTTTTTAATAATTTATAATCACTTATTAACAGTCAAAAATTGAAGATTTAATATTAATTAACTTAACGATAAGAACGAATGAAAAAACTCAGACATACTTGTGTTCAAAACAGTTATAAATTACAACAATACCTATACCCTGATAATTGTTTTAATTTTAATAAATGCTAATTATTACTTTGGTTCCAAACAAAAGATTATTCATAAACAAAATGTTTAATATGCCAGCAGCTTACTTATTAACTGTTAAAATTGATAATAGTTTATCTATTATCTTCGAATAAATTATTAATGTCCGGTATATATACCATGGTCACATATTATACGAAGTTCATATAAAATATACTGCGGTTAATATTTTTCTGCGTTAAAATACACTCAATATTAAATTTGAATTTAAAAGGTAATTAATTTTTAAAATATTTAATATATTAAGACTTAGACCCATGGACGGTCTTTTAAAAAGGTACCTATCTAGACAGGGCTGGCGCAACGGCAGTGCAACCGGTGCACCTGCACAAATTTGGAGCCCCGCGGATAACAAATCATTACTGAATAAATATTATAATTTAGAAAATATTACATTATTAATAAAAATATAATATTTTAAACTACAGATCCTAGCGAAAAGTCAAAAAAAAGAATCGTTCTAAAATATATAATTAAAAATAAATAATATAATATATTATTTTATTGTATACATTTATTTTATATATATCTATAACTAAAAAATAAATAGTATAATAGGATGGTCCTTAATTTTACACATTTGAAATTTAATTGCTAGACCTTCCCATTTTTTTTATAATCATATAAAAGTAATGTGTAAAAAATTTGAGCATAATTACTCATCCCCTACCCGTGCCCCAAAAGGGTTGAATATAAGCCAAAAAGTAGTTTAATGGTTTTTTTTATATTTTATTCGAAAAATATAAGATTTATCATAAAATGTATAGAAATTAAATTGTAGAAAAAATGATGTTCCATAAAAAATATATTAACAACATTTTCGTAAATCTAATATTTACCCCTTTAAAAATATTTTTTTTTTGTTTTTTTGACAAAATTGAATTTTTTTACAGTTGTTTCAATTTATATTAATAAAAATTATGTAATAATAAACCAAATAATTTAAGGTGTATTTCTAATTAGTTTTATCTTCAAATGGTGTACTCAAAACTTGTCTTGTATATTTTTTATACGTTTTTCTGTATTTTTGAATAACCTAAAATTAAATGCATAATACAATTAGTCATATAAAATTACATTTATCATAGATATAATTTTTTGTAACCCACTTGAAGAAAAATTGTTTTTGGTTTTCATTTTTAGTGAATTTTTCGTTGAAATCCTCCACAAGCTTTACTCCCTGATACAGCTGTATCATTCATGATTTGTAACGAATCTATTGTCATTTTTGCCGATTGATATGTAAGATTATCATTCCACTTAGTTGGGTCCATTTTTAGGTATTCCGAAGAAATTTCGAATCTTTTAAAATATTTTATATAACTTATAACTTAACAAATGTACAGGTAATTCTTTATTTCATTACTTTATTACTTTATTTCATAATTTCATCCACGTCATCTAACTTCAATTATAATTTTTTCGGTTCTGATAAAAATTCGTCTCCCACTCCCGGTGTTAATTCTATTTGTTCTTGGTACTTAAGTAGTTTATCAGCCATTTTTTTTTCTGACATCAATTGAAATCCTCTCATCAAATAAAGCAAATACGGCACATTCTTCATTAAGATACGATAAATGATTTAAAAATTTTGACAAACATGAATCTGCAATTTTTTTATCATCACTTTTATATTCGTTTAAAGTACGTATTAAATTTATATAGTTGAATGGTGCCTCTCTAACATTTATAACTGTATACCAATATTTAATATAATTTTTAACAATAAATGCGCTAATTCGAACTATGGCATTTTCTTCGGTTTTTGTTATTTTTAATTTAATTCGTAGTAAAAATATTTTCAGACAGTAAATACATTTTGATATCCACCTTACCTGATGACATGCGCCTGGTTGACGAATTTTCATACCACAAGGTGGAGTTTCTCCAAGTATAATAATGACTAGTCCAATTAATTCTTTGTAATCGTCTTTAGGATGATCTTCAGTAATTTTTTTTAAACAAAATAAAACAATTTCTTGATGAATAGGGGAAATTATTTTTTCAAAATTTTTGTTTGTATTCCAAACTAATATTTTTGTTTTATCAATTTCTTTCTATGAATTTTGAAAGCGTTTAAAAATAGGTATAATTTGTCCAGATGATACGTATAATTTCGCCTCGTTAAATGCAGCCTGGATAATCAACTCCGAAGTATGATACCTACAAGCAAAATAAATAATGTCTCTGTTCAATTTCTGCTCCAAAAGTATAGACGCCCCATTTAGCTTGCTGGTATTTGATGCAGTAATAGATTTATTAAACGGTTTTAAAGTTAATTTAGTAAAATATCTATGATTAGGATAAAAATGCATAGTAATCTTTTAAAAGATCCAATATGTTTCACGAGGCAGTCAGGATATACTTTTATAGAGATCAAAATATCTTTATTTATATTTTATATTTTATTCAATACCCAAGATTTGCTAGTGAAGAAACCACTCGCAGTGACTATACTTGCGTTACGGATATTATTAATTTCATTAGAGTACACGAGCACCAGTGAAATATAATCATAGACGCAATTTAGGGGGACTTGAGTGTGCTTAGCACTCCCATTTTTGAAATTAGACATAAACCTATGCCCACATTAGGCGGAATCCACTGTACTTTAATTGTTTCTTATAAATATTTATATTCAATTGAAAACAAAGATATAGGAACTTATTCAGTTGCACTCTGTCTTGAATATTATATGAATTTTCTTCCATGTAAAAATAAAATAACACCCATTTTAGTTATTATATTTTATAGTTTTATAAATTCATCATCATATCAGTTTTTCTTAATCTTAAATATGTTACTTACATTATTAATTATGCATTTTATCATGTATGCGACGATATAAATAAGAAATCAATAAATAGAAATATACAATAATATAATAATATTATATATTGCAAGAAAAAAAATATAAATATTATATGAACAAAATGTAAAATGTTATTAAAGTAATGAAATAAATATAGAAAACATTTTTAAGAAATTAAACATTAATATAATATTTTAAGTCATCTTCAATATCGTTGATTATGTATTTCATGTTCGGTGAGCTGGCGTTAACTTCTTCATCTTGATGTATTTTATTGAATCTATAAAATATTAAAACAGATAAATTTTATTTTATAATAAGAATTCAAAAATATTAATATTTATCCTAAAAATACCATGACAAGTCGTTTGTTTTCAAAAGAAGCTTTTTATCTGATTTGAATGTTTTCAAACAATGCTGCACGAGTTATCGATAATACAAAATTAGTTTGATCGTTTTTTCAATAAACATATTGTAATAGGGGATAACTGTTGAATAATATCTTGTAAATATTAAGATTAAATTATATTTATTGTATGTTGGAATTTAAAATGGGAAACAAAATTGGAGAAAAAAAATTCGTTTACTACTTCTAAATTAATTATTTAATTATAAATTATCTTATTAATTAGTTTTACATGATAAAATTAATTAATATTTATAATTCAATCGTGATTAAATATTTCGAAATTATAAGTCAAAATATCGATCGACATTTTCCGTATAAGATAAGTGTATATGTTATATGTATAGCGCGGATTTATATGCATTAAAAACCAACCAAATAAGCGCTAAAAAAACCCTAAATATGCATAAATATATGCACAAATAATAAAAAAATTAGCATAAAAATAATTAGCAAAAAAAAATCTTATATCTTATATAAGTATACGTATTTTATTTCCCCGATTAATTATCTAAGGTTATATTTGGGAAAACCGTTTATACCTACAAGTATACCTATTAATTTATTCTGATATTAATGGAAACTATAAAAATATAATATTTTTTTCTTATAATATAATACTATATATTTCAAAAATGTCTAAAAAAAACTAAAATATGAAATATGCAATTAAAATTGTAAAATAAGCCCTTAAAATAGAAAAATGTCAAAATATGCAAAAATATGCGCTAAAAAATTTTCATTTTTTAAATTGTTATGTTGTAAAACTAATTTTGTGCTCACTTAGCATATCATATGATCAACGAGAATAAATATAAAAATGCATACAAATCCGCGCTCTAGTTATATATATAATATTGTTAATAGTACCTATATGTAATTATTACATTGCTGCATCAAATCCGTTTCTTCTACGAAATCATATAGTAAATCATAACAGTCACTTTGAATGAATTAAGTCATTAGTTGAACGGTAAGTGTTTTTTGTCTATGATTAAAACGAGATCCCTTCGTAATCGACTGATCTGGATCTGAAACTAAAACCGACGAAATTAATTCATCCTAATCCAATCTGCTGTTTTCGCAAACTCCGATTTTCACCACTCTAATTTGCTGTTCAACGAATTCACAAACATCAATACTACTCAAATTATATTAATATTTAAACCGATGGCTCAGTTTCATCGATTTCAGTTGTTTCATTGTTTTATACCTCGATATCCCAAATTAACTCGCATTGGTTTTGAATAATCGATAAAAGCCTGTGCAATATTTGAAACTCAATTTAGAATAATATTATATAGTTACCTTCATGAATCCATTTGTCGAAGTACATGTCATATCGTGTATTTTAATAGTTTTAAGGCCCCTGCAAACCCTATTAATTTTTCATCAAAACGACCTTAGCGACTGACAAAAATTAAAGTACTTCTAGTGGTTCGATTTAAAAAATTGTTGACTAACTTTCTCTATACGAATCACATTCTAGTATTAATAG